TATTCGCTAGCGTTGCAGGTTTTACCGTAAGAATTATCGATCATACCTGCCATAAAGCACGAGTATGCAGAAATCACGGGTCGGTACGGCGAAAAATATAGGGCGCTCGGATAAGTGACTATGTCATAACTATGAATCTTACCAGGTAGCAGACGTTTCTGTAGAGCAACCTCTAACAAGAAATAAGTGAAATTGATTTCACCCAGATCCACACAATGACACATGGAAAATTTACAGCCCTGCTATATACTGTTGAATCAACTGGAAGATATCTGGCAATTAATAGCCTCGGTACATTTATTGAATTTGTTTTCTTTCTCTATTGTATTTGTATTTTATACATACTTTTTCTCAAATATGTCGAAAATATAATCGTGTGTGATTCGTGCGCTTTGAACAACGCCGATAGAGTTTTCACCGCAATATTTCTGCGTGTGCAAATGACACTCGACAAAAGCCACCCCAGCAACGCGTAACGTCGCAGTCGATAATTGTTACATTTCGAACATGCTTTTGTTATTACAACACGCACAGCTTACCCTTCGCAATTTTCAATCGACGTAATTCCGTTAGTATTACAATCGCCAATTGCCGGATTAATAAATAGGGTGGAAATTTATTGGTAAAGAAATGGGAAAAGAGAAAGATGTCTTTAATTCTTCGTTCAAATTATGGAACATTTCAGTAATTTACATAGCAAATATAAGCGGAAAATTATTGTACAATTCTGATCTTTTATAATTTTGCTGAAGAATACATTCGAGATCTTCGAAGGCTTCATCCTCATTATGTAAATTTTAAAGATTTCCAATTGTTAATGAAACCTATCGAGATACATCAATATTTGTATAATGTGTAAGGAAACCAATTTTATCTGACTGATATCAAATATTGCGATAGTATTAACAGACGGCAACTCCCTTCGATCGAGGAATTAAAGGCTTTAGTTAGCTTTTTCTTTAGCCAACAGTTCCGGCGCATTCTTAATCTTTAACGCGCGCCAAGAGAGAAGACGATTTAATCTCGTGAACGCGGAGTGGATTAATAAATGAGCTGAAAGCGTCCATCTGCGGCACCGACACGAAAGCATGAAAACCTGAAGAGAGACAGAGAGAGAGAGAGAGAGAGAGAGAGAGAGAGAGAGAGAGAGAGAGATAGAGAGAGAGAGAGAGAGAGAGAGAGAGAGAGAGAGATACCCTTCTAACGCTCTAAACCCGGAGCTAAGAAAGCTCTCCGACGTGAAAGTGTCGGCGCCGCGACGCCGTCCCGTATCCAGAAACGACGCCTAAAGTACTTGCAGAATCGCACTACGTGTCCGAACTTCCCGCCGGCCTCCGGCTCTCAAAGCCTCAGTTATCCAACCCGGTAAGTTCCTCAAACTTGGTGGCGTAGCCTCGCCTATTATAACGGCCAAGTTCCAGTCTGTCCGGGCCCATCCATCCACGCACACGAGCGTGATGCCCTTTAATATATTCCTGTGTAATGTGTCACCGGCTACGTCCGTGTACACGGTTGGTTTGTGTCCGTACGCGTGTTTCCGGCCCTACGTCCTTTAAACATCAGGTCTGTTCCTGTCATAAAACGAGGTGGCGCTATCGATCGGTGTGAACCGAAAAGCGATACGAAGATGCAAACGAACGGCCAACTCAGACGAAGACTCCTTTGAAGACTCCGATAATTGGACATTTCTATGGAGAAACGAGCTGCGTCTCACCATTATTATTATTATTATTAACTTTGATAGGTTGAAAAAAATTATTTCTCTCTTGCGATCGCTTCAATTTATTATTAAATTATTTAGTAGAAAAAGAAAGAGATCTAATTGTGCATTTCTTTGCATAACTGAACTTATTAAGTTAATAATAGCGAAGTTTGAATTAATGGAAAATATACCGTTTATTCTTCACTTGCGAAGAAAATCTAAAATTGTCGACGATATCACGTTCTCAACGTGAAGCGGAAACGAGTGTTACTTGCAAATCGGGCGTGCGGAAGCAAATGCGAACGCGCAAGATAAAATCTAATCGAATCCCTTACTACCGGAAATACAGATAAACGACTCGGTTCATCGTCAATCTCTTGCAATATTCGTAATAAAAAATGATTTCTCTTGAGATTGCTTCAATTTTATTATTAAATTACTTAGTCGAAAAAATGAGATCTACTTGTGCATTCTTTGCGCAACTGATCCTATTAAGTTAAATAATAACGGAGTTTGAATTAATGAAAAATATACCAATTACACCTATTCCTCAATTACGAAGAAAATTTAAAAAAACATTGTCGACGATGGGCATTCTCAACATAAAGCGGGAATGAACGTTACTTGCAAATCGGGCATGCAGAAGTAAATGCGAATGCACAAGATAAAATCCAATCGAATCCCTTACCGCCGGAAATACGGATAAGCGACTCGGTTCGTCGTCAATCTCTTGTGATCAACGGAACGGAATCTCTAGACCTTTCTGCCTGATTGACGGGGGGCAGAATATCTTTGCGCCTGAATCGCAGCGCCTTAATCGAATTCTCGGCAGTGCTCGGTGAACTTGTTTAGTATCGGGAACTACGCTGGAGACAATTGGCAGAGTAAATGCTGAATAACATGCTCACGACGTGAATGCACGCGCGAGATAAAATATGAAGAGGGGTAAGATTTCAATTGCCAGCATATTATTAAAAAAAATTCCTTTATCCCCGCTCTGAATCGTGATTGAAATATTATTTCATTTTTTTATAAAAAAAATATATATATTTCTCTCTCTCTCGATGGAGAATTAGTTTCCGCATGGCTTGGCTCGATATTGCAATGATGATACAAGATTCGTGGACACAAGTTACGCAACCGAAAATACCGGTCAAAGGCAGAAATTTTGACAGGGCTTAACGAGATCCTCGGGGCTTTTCGCGCGAAAGCTCTACGCTGTTAACTATTGCTGCTTCCATCGCCTCGCACTCGAAATAAATAGTAAAACCAATATCGAAATAAATATTAAAAAATCTTATAATTCGTGAAATTTCGTTATTACATGATTACACGCGATCGCGTATATTTGTAGCTTTACACTGGTGGCGCCAAGTATAAGTGATACTCTTGAAAAATGCAAGCCATGCGCTATGCAATGACTTTGAGATAGTTTGAACTAGTTTGCAGTAACGTACAGTGTCGACGGTTTATAGTTAAATGAACGAACGTCATTCAGCTACTTGAATAGAAACATACGCGATTGACCGTGTCGACGAATATCAAAAAGAATCGAAACACTTTAAATAACACAGAGTACATACTATTGGAAAATCCATTAATTTAAATCCACTTGTAACTACCACACCTCGTTGAAAAATCTAGATACTTTTGCGATACTAACTTTTAATTTCGTTTCGATTCGTATAGATATATACTGACAAATATATACTGTTAAAAATTTTAAAACAGTCTTTGGAAGTGGAAATTCTCAAGTATAGAAGTAGAAAAAGAATTTTATATATACATATATATATATATATACATGTATATCTGCTTGGCATTTAACATTTAGTTTTCCTTTTTCACTGCAAGAAGGAATTGCGATTGTATCTGTGTGTCCGAGAAAGGTTAAAACACGAACGATATAATAAGGTCAGAGGTTTCCACTACGTTACTTATGTCATCCGAACACAAGCGTAACTGCCTAAAGGTTTCATAAAAATAATTGGACGCTCAACGGAACGAGAGAAGACGTACAAAGAAACGGCTCAACGAATTTAACCGACGTAAGTTCTTGATACGTTTCCGCAATATTCTGTATCAACAAAGTGATATCCTCCCATACCAATGGCCAACAAAGGATATTTCTCGGTAGCTTCTTATTCTGCACGTAATCATTCACTATGGATTTGTGGAAATGTCTACCACATGAATATCTCGTGGTATCATAAATTTTACCGAGGCTCCGCGTGGCAATATTCAATTTCATAATTTCAATATTGCACTGTTATTTCGTGATTTCGTAGTTACACATGAATTAATTTCCTCAAGCAAAATACGAATTAACTTTAACCAACGTTAAACCGTAGAATCGTAAAAATAAATAAAACTAAATATTAATATGTAATATTGTTTGCAATACTTTTATGTATTCATATTTGAAGTAATAAGCTTATAATTGCGTGTGTTTTATTTTACAGCAGTTTCGATAAACGTGGTTCTATGATTGTAAATATACAATTTAATCTCTCTTCTTTTTTTACACATAAAAGATGAAAGAAAAGGAAGATTGGATCTCTGATTCTGGTTAGCCAGAATTAACGATTCTGTAAAAAAAAAAGGAAGAAAAAGGCGAATAGGAATCATTGATGCCGGAAAGCGATCGCGCGCTTGTTTTTCATTGGTCCTGACAAAAATATATTTTGCCTCTCTGGTTCTCGTTGCGACATTTCCTATCATGAGTCAGACAAAAATAAAATTGAAGCCTCCCGATGTATCGATATAAAGTTTGGTTCTGTCTGATATTTTCTACCGAACAGAGAACGGATGGCATAGAAACAGGGTAAAAGTAACTTCAATGCTTTTACAGAAACAAGCGAGTGATGAGCTCGTAAAAATGTAAAAACATAAAAGTACGTTGATCCTAAATATTATTTCAAGTACAATTATTAAAAGCATTTAAATTTCCAATCAATGAGACATAACGAACATTAATAGAACGCTCAGATAAATCGAGAATTTCGTGAGATCGCCGTTTTGCACCATCGAACAAATCGCAAGTTAAATATGTATTAACTGATCAATATATAAAATCGGGACAATTTGTTGGGTTTAATATATCGCATTTCACATCATACGTATGCGAAATTCATGGAGCAAATTAAGCTCGTTACAAGGCAAAAAGTAAAAAGATAATGACGGAGAACAATTTATTAGGGATATAACGCTAATAATAACACGCAATCGTGATCTTGTTATATTTCGAACGCAACAACTGGCGCAACAGGACGCAATACAGTACGCAACGCTAACGTACCTGATTTCTCATCTGCGGTGGTACCGCTTCCATCAACGTACGAGACAGCCTTCATTAGTCCGAGGAACAACAGCACTACATTCCACATGTTCTCTCGTTATTCCGCGCAAATCCTTGTAACGGAAAAAGATTACGCACGACGTAACGATCGCGCGGGGATACGCACTCTCCTTCTCTCCGACCTGGCACAACCGATCTACTGCCAACTCGTCTACGAGCTGACTGTATTCGTGTCACCCACGTTAAGTCATCGCTTCGACAGTCACCGGATCACCCGCGGACACTTACGCCATGATCATCAGCTCGACCGGCGCCATCCTCTTCTCGTCCGAGTTGGAGTCATAAGAGACAATCTGATCAGCGGTTACCAACTTAGTAGCTGCACATTTCTCGAAATTCGCGCAAAACGCGACAAGCTGTAGACGGATGGTTGATGACAGATGTTTTCTTTCGATCCACCCACAGGCGTGAGGGAACATTCCCTCTCATCTGAATCTCTAGCTCCAGCGCGCGGATGCTGATCTACCGGTAACAAAACGCTTTCGGTGTCCGCTGCTGTGCGCCCAGTTTTTCGTCTCTAATTAAACACTAATTAAAGCATCCAGAGAGTGCTGATTCTCCGACTCCGTACTGTTTTTTTCCTTCTTCCTCTCTCTCTCTCTCTCTCTCTCTCTCTCTCTCTCTCTCTCTCTCTCTCTGTCCTTGCTTCCGCCCTCGCTTCCTGGTTGACCACTGCTCGTCCGTTATTAAAGCGCAATACAAGCGTGGTAATCTCCGAGACGGTGGAAAATCTCTTGCATTTCCGGTCTATCCAGGCGCCGCCATCGCCGATAACCCGCAACGTTCACCATGATACCTGCAGAGATCCTCAATGATTATGTGAAATGTATGAATCGAAGGAATAGTTCGCCACGTCAGTGTTAAAAGAACGAGGAGTTAGGGGAGATCTGGAGAACGTTCTCCACCAATTCACCAGAGGCGTTCGATTTTTCAAGCCCGAAGAACGAAGAAGATCAGTTGACATAAACGTAGTTACGTAGATCGAACGAAGTCTTCAGATTTATGGTAAATTGTCCTTTGTGTATATATTGTAGATATTTACATAAAGATATTGTAGATATTTACATAAAGATTTACTTTCACGTAAATTTGCGTTGCACGACACTGTCTCTTCACAATAATTAGCTCCCCTATGGATGGCTTTTATTCATTCGAACTAATTATGAAATCGACACGATCTTACATCCGATCACTGTGTCCAGCCACGAGAATTAGAATTCGAGCAATCTTCTCGCCGGATAAATGCTTATTATTTCAGTGATTTATGAGAACCATTTGTTAAAAATTAATAATAACTCTGACGAGATTAAAGACATTCGAGGTTCACTTCGACAATTCTGGTTGACCAAACTAGACACGAGTTTGTCGATGGCGAGCTATCGCAATATGTATAAAAACCGAAGGACTGCGGAGATGTTCAATCACGTCGGACCACCACAGATTTGGGGGTTTTCCTGGAATCGGTCCAAGTAACGACCTAGGGGACGCAAAGGCCTGCAATCACGTTGGGGCAGCAATAATTGCGAACCACCTGGAATCGATTCGAGGGAGGATTGAAGAAATCGATGGAATCCGATCATACAATCATCGATTTTTGTTTTCATCGACCGGAGATCGTTCGAAACGAGGAACACCGAGTCAGAAAATTCTGCGACAATATTCGTTACATCTCATGTTAAATCGTTTCGTCGCTCGTATTCACACAGCTCGTACATTTCATGAAAAGATTACAAGCACATTAGAGAAATGAACATCGTCTGTCGATAGAAACGTAACTCTGCGTCCGTTGCAATGAACTCCGTTTTACACAGGAAAAAGAAAAGAAACGATGAATTATTGCCTTTTCCACTCTATTCCTATTTACATCCGTCCTAGGGAGTCTGACATGTGCGAGCGTCTCGCGTTAAATTCGACGAGGTCCTACGCGTGTCGTCCGTGACATTCCTGAGAAAACTTTTGCGACACGTCGCGCACGTGTAATTTTCGGAGCTGTCGTCGGTTATCCCTCACCCGGGTTATCACCCGGTTGTCTGCGAGTGACACGAAGAGACGCGCGACAGCCACCCTTCGCGACGCAACATAACACGCCACTGGGAACACGTGGTTCTCGACCGACGGCGGACGGCACACTGACGGAAAAGACGAGCAAACGGCGCCGCGACGGACGCGCAGCCTGCAAAGCCTCCCGAGGAGGTGGCGGTGGAGGTGGAGGTAGCGGAGGGCGGAGGAAGAGCGGAGGGCGCGGCGAAAGGGGTTCTCGGACTCGTGCACCACCACCGCCACCACCGCGGAGAATATCAGGACAGAAAGGGATGGCTGTTTCTAAGGGTGTGCGTACTCGAATATAATGCACGTCGCCGAAATGGACAGAGGGTAAAAAGAGAGATGAGCGACGTGCTCCTCAACACCCTGTCGTGCGGACCACCACCCTCTACCCCGCGAAATAGAACGATATTGCGCGTTTGCGAGCGCAAAGTGGCACCGATAGCATCGTTAAACGTTTACCCGGGGGGACTCGCCGGAAGCTCTGCCGGATATTTTATTCCGACGAGAAATGAGATGAAGAAGTAATAAGTTTAACATACTCGTTAACTCGTTTGTGTACGAGTCTGATTAATTAATTCATTTGCGATCGATAGTACGTACATATTCCATTGATAAACGCATCGATCAGGAGATACAAAATGCGCGTTTATTCGCCCAAGTCTGAGATGCGCTTTCCGTACGTGTGTGGGGAGGTAAATTTAATAGACAAATAATTACTATTAATATGAATTTGTGCTCACTGATAATTGGGCGTGCTTACGTAACACAGTGAACCTGGTATCCCTCCCGGGGATAGAGATACGCCCGTTTAGTTTCGGTATCTAAGGGGAATATGTACTATTGAACATCGGTGAACGCGAAAGAGATATATGCAAATATAATGATTTGCCAACTACGCGTACGTAAAAGCACACGATTAGAGATAAAAATAAATGGAACAAACACGAGAGGGGGAAGGGGGAGGGGGGGGCACGAAGCACACCTGCTTATTTATTGTGTAAAGCGGCGCGAGGCAAAAATAAATGGTTTAAATTATAGTTGTAAAATAACGGCCAACGTAAATTAGGCGGGTCGCTGAAACTGTTACGATACCCATGTAATTAGCCGCGCCGTAATATTTGCATATTACTCGAAACTTCTGCACCCGTGGAATGCGACGTACATACATACGTTACTGCTGTGTGATACAAAAGGTCAAAAGCACAAGCACCGATACGCGCGATATATTTTACGAAATACCAAACTATATAAATACACAGCTACAAATCACATAATTCTGATATTGAGTTTCGACTAATTATGCTCAGATGAATTAGATATTTGTGAAAAGATTATTTGAAAATAAAAAGGCTGATATTAAAACAATCTAAAAAAAAAGGCTACCTTCACTGAGAGAAAGGTGTTTGATATGTGTGACTATAATTGCACGGTAAAATAATTATTAATTATCATAATAATCATATTAACTCCATTTTTGTGGTTACTATAAAAATTATATTATAAATTATAATTTCACATATATTAATATAGTAAAATATCAAGATATAAATGATAATTAAAATATATTTTTTTGTTCCATAAATACAACCGTAATTATAATGACTGTAACTATTTTCTTAAATTCACTTACTATTTATGTAGTAATAATTAAAATATATATTTTTAAAAAGCTAAAAATTTTAAACCAGTGTATATAACTATTATATGGCACAATTGACTGACTATATTTACATGATTAAAACTATATAGTCATCCCAAAAAATGACTACAAATTAGAGTTAAATTATGGTAATTGTAATCATTTTTTTCCTCTTAGTAATACAATGAAATATCTTTAAAATTTACATTACTGTTTTAACTTTATAATATGCAATCTGCATCTATAAATTTTCATACTTTTATAGTGATAAAATTAGATCTTATTCGATATTTTCTTTTCTTATTTTCTTTGTTCAATACGTCCAATTCATCTCCAATGTATTCAATTCTTATTTATTCAAAAGATTGCTTGCTTAAATAATTATTTTGCCGTTTCTTATTTTAAATAAATATTTCGAGTAACAGTTAATGCAGCATTTTCTTCCCGTTTAAGGTTTTGATTCAGTTTGCGACATTTTCTTGCCGTAAATATTTGCGTTAAATTTACTGAAGGAATGAATAACATGTCAAACTGCATATTGCATGTTGCACCGCGGTAAACAGTACCTATACCCATATCATAATATTGTAATATCATAGTATTGATAAACAACAGATTTCAAATATCTCGCAGGATTCTCATCCGCGATTCTCGACGATTTGTAATAATTAGGTCCGTTCGCGTTACTTGCAACTTTTTGCACTCAGCATCTTTGTTTGCTCTCTCTTTTTAACATTAGAATTATATATTTATCTCATTTTAAGTGGAAAAATTTTGAGAATTTCAAGCAACACGAACAGATATATTAATTTCGCGATCTCAAAGAACTCGCATTCACGCCGACCAAGCACTCTCGAGTACACGCGGACGTTCGAATAATAATTTTAATCGATTCGCAAGACAGCGGGCAATTTTCGCGTTGAACGTTAAATCTGGGAGGAGCCCAGGCCATTCCGTTCGGCACGAAGGTAGCTCTTGATATAGTCGGGTTAAGGTTCTTGCGCGTACTCGCTCGTCCGTGCACGAGTGCTTGCTTTCGGTTCAGTGTCGAAGACGGTTTATAGTGGTTTAAGAGGACTAGAAGTCGGCGCAGCTGGGGGGGTTGAGCGACGTTGGATAGAACGGTAGAGGAACAGATCGAGATAGGGTGAGAGACCTCGAGGCGAAAGAGGCGGATGAGGAAGCAGATGCTCCCCAACCGGTGTCACGGATCATGGTCATCTTGAAAGCTCCTGAAAGGTAGGAATGCCCCACGCGTCCTCTGAAAGCTATCTCTCCGAGGAGGGAACGTCTCACTCCTCTCGAGTCTCGCGTCGGGGTCACGTGGGCTCGTTCTCTCGCATAGATATAGCTCTACGTGTACGTATGTGCATGTGTACGTCACGAATAGTGTGTAAATATGTAGAGGGCTCCCTCCTGAGGGCGAAAAATGGCAGGTACTTTGCGGACGACAGTTTCATCCGGGACTCGTTAATTCGTTTACTCGTGTCAACCTTCGTTTTCACATTTTTCGTACATCCCTTCACCGATACCTTTTTTTTTATTTGTCTTTTATAGTTTGCCAATCTGAGCAGTTAAGCAGAACAAGAAAAAAAAATCTATCTTGAGAAATAATTATCTTGCTTTTTGAATAGATAGATAAGTTTTAATTTTTTTTTTTGTGGCTTCTATAAATTACATAAAAAAGAGAATCTTCTGAGAACTATCTAAAATTATATAGACCTCTTACAGAAATTTAATACTAAAACATAGTGATTATTTATTGAATATTAACAG